AAGATACTAACATAAAGTGGGCAAGAAAAAGACTTTTTCGTATTATTTAAAGGAGTAGATGAGAAAAAAATTTGAGGACTTGGTATCTGTTTTCTAAGCATTTGTTTTTGCATAATTTCCCTTAGCCTAGAGTGAACTCGCTCAGAATGGAAATGTGCTTATTCATCTCCGTACATTTAGTACTTGGTGCAGTACCTTGAACAGAGCAGTCCTGCAATGAGTATCTGTTGAATTATTAAATGTTTATTTTATTAGTTATGTGAATATATGCAAATATATGCCAAATGTATGCCAGAGGCAAATATATGCCAGAATGTAGCTTCGTTCCTCATACATATATATTTACTAGGTATATATCCAATATATATACTTTAGAAAATTGAATTGTGTAAGACGGGAATGAGTCACTGGTCAGTGGAATGTAACACTTTTTCCCTGAATCTAGTCATGTTCTTTTCTAATCAATACAACTGCTGCTTTCAGTGTTCCAATGACATTAAGACCAAGATTCCATCTGCTTTTCCTGAAAAATTGGTTCATTTACTCTAATTTGCATGCTATTTTAAATAACTGAAAGAACTCAGCACACACTGAACAAATTAAAGATATTCCTTTAACATGGCCTTTGCCATTTTACGATCCTTTAGGGCTTCAAATTTTCTCTGAATAATATTTGCAAAGGCAAATGGATGTCTGAAATTTAAAAGCAATATTAAAGCTATTACTCTACTGTATTTTGTGGCATATTAGGAAATATTTTAAATTTCTGTCAAATCCTTAAAGATATACTTTAGATTCTATTTTGTGTTCCTATTATTTCTGTGTGTCTAAAGTCACGTTAGAAATTCGCTGTGCTCAGTGAATTCACATCCTTAGAATGTGACGTTGAGGCACTAGATATTGCAGTGGGGTTGAATGTTGTTTAAGAACTCAGCTCTGAGAGAGATGGATGAGAAATGGTATATGAAGTCATGGTCCATTCTGGAGACAGAGAGAGCAGCCCCGTGGGTTCAGAGTACACTCAGAGACTAGAATTGGGAGTTAGTGAGAATGAGACTAGATGGAGGGAAGGGATATTGTAACAGCTATTGAATATCAGGGGTCACCAGCATTTTCTGTAAAGGACCTAAGAGTAAACATCTTGGGTTTTATGAGCAATATAATCATGTCCCCACTATTCGACTCTGCCTCATAGTGTCAGAGCAGCCCCAGACAACACAGAAAGGAAGGGGTGTGGTTGTGACTCAGTGACACTAGAGAAGGGGGCTGGATGTGGATTTTGTCCTGAGACCAAGGACTCCAGGGGCTGATTTGTTGCTCAGCCTGCTTCCAGTGCCAGACGAGAGAGAATCAAAAGCCTTGCTGCTTAATTATTCCGTTTAGCACAGGGAACTATATTCAGTATCTTGTAGTAACTTATAAAGGAAAAGAACATGAAGAAGAATACACATACGTATATTTGTGTGTGTAACTAAATCTCTGTGCTGTACACCAGAGACAACACAACATTGTAAATCGACTATACTTCAATTGAAAAAAGAAAGAGCCTTACTTTTCCAGTGGCATTTTGGCCCCATTTGCTGCCACGCCCTGGCCACTCACGGCCCAGTGCAGGCTAGCCTAAGGCTGCTGCGATTCAACGATTTGCAACCCCACACAAGCTGCAGAAGCGCCCCACTTTGGGACTACCAGGTTAGGGCTCTCTTATTTTGCAATCTCATGCTCATCCATTGTTCCTCAAAGCACCAGGCTATGTCAGGGTCAAGTCCAGAGGGCTAACCATGTTAGTCACATATCCCTCCAGAACTAGCCCTAACCTTGACAACTCTTGGACTCCATTATTTTGGACTTGGGTCGTCAAATCAGAAACTCTTTCCTTCCAGTGTATTCCTCCTGTGAGTCTTTATGTCTCCTCCTGCCAGGAGACCTCTTGTTTACGGTTACCCTAGGTCACCTGGATTGTCCCCCTTAACTTTTATCCAATAAAATAAGGGTCAGAGTCTGGGTCTCTCTCTTCTATAAAGATCCTCACTTTTTATAGAACTGGTTCATGTCTCAACACACTAAAGAAAACAGAAAAGCAGCTTTTCTGGCCACAAAAACTGTGTGATGTCCTTCTTTAAGGATGTTGGGTCCTATTCAATGTACATTTGCCTATGTCAACCCTTTGCAAAGCAAAGATCTGCTCCAAGGTGATTTCTTTCTTTGCCTGTAGAATGAACTTGCAGATTGTCGTCATAAAAAGAAAATTTATCCCTGTTTAAAAGAAGCTCTTCTTCAGGTGTGAGCTCATTTTCTTGGGATGCAAGAAGCTCTTTCTGGAAGGACTAGGTTTTCTAAATAGAAGAAAAGCTAAATTACCCAAAATGCAAATTAAAAGAACACAGCACATTTTAATTCTTTTAAATTGCCAGTACTCCACTCATCTTTATTCTGACATCACCTCACAAGTGTTGGCCCATCACACAACTTGCACAATTCACCAATCAAAATTTGCCAGCTTCAGGATGGGTGCCCACAAGTAGAGAAGCCCAGAATCCCTACAGAAGAGTGGTTCATGGACATCCTTATCACCCCTTCCTGCAAGTTGTGGGCGGAAGCCGATTTTGTAGTCGTGAGTTACAACTTGTGTTGAGTCTTTCTTTATCTGTCATGATATGTTTCAGGATGATGGCACAGTAGGATTGTAGCTTGAAATCAGTTTGATGCTGACTGTTAACACCTCATACTTTGTTCCCAGAGGAAAACTCTTACAACATCATTAGGATCGTTCTTAAAGAGTGTGTATTACACACAGATTTTTGGTCATAGGTGATAAGAGGTCAAAAAAAAAAATACTCAGGCAAAAGTGGTTGGGGAAGGAGGTATCACTGACGCTGTAGCTGAATCTCTCAGAAGATTGTTTTGCAGCTGGTCTTGTGGTTAATGGAATTCAAAGACTCAAAACAAAATTCTCAAGAATCTCTCTATATCTTTTATCTCTTCTTTTCTCTTAATTCAGCTCTATTCTCTTCTACTACTGTAAGCCTTTCCTCATTTGGTAGAGGAAACATGATCACGAGTAGCTTGGGACTTCACACGTGTTCAATCTTGCCACCAAAAAGAGAAGGGTTCTCTTCCTTCCTAATTCTAGTTAGAAAACTGCAGGGAGGGTACTCTGATAAGCTCCTGCTGGTTTTATGACCATCTCTGGACAAATCTCACGGCCATGGGAAAGGGTACCATCTATGACAGGCCTCACTTAAGTTGTTGTGTTTGCTCCACGACCAATATGGTAAATTCGGTGACACTAAATGCCCACCTGCCTTGGAACCACGTATTGCTTTGTATTTGGACAAGATGTCTTATCTTGGAAAAAGGAGTGGGCTTAAACCAAAGCAGCACATGTTTTGCCTGGAATCCATAAAAGATAAAATAATTGATGAGATAATATTTCACAAGATTACAAATCAACAACATATAATTCCATGTATAAAGTGAGTCAGTGACTGAGAATTCAAGAGTTTCCACATTTGCAAAGACAGAAAGATATCCTCTGCCATTTGTGACTCCACACCTGTGTGAAATCAAATTTGCATTAATTTTGTACATCAGAATAAAGTCTAGCATGAGTATGGCTATTTTTCAAATATCAATGAACAAATGTTTATCAAAGGTATAGCTATAGGAGTAAAAATTTGTTTTAAATGTGTAATTTTTGTGTAGTTTATCTATTACTAGGAAATTAAACAGTAATTCTATCTGTTTTATTTTAAAGCTATAAGGTACCTTAATTTTAAGAACTATCATGCTTTAGCTCTTTTCATAAGTGCTTCTAGAACATAGTGGAAGAACAAAAGCGGTGTGAGTGAAGGCAAAGGTTAAGAACCACTTCTTTACATCATTTTATGCTGCTTTCCATGTCTGGGAAGGTGCTTCTTTTCAATAATTCCTTCTAAAACCCTTTGGACTCTTGCCCTAATTTTTCTTATAATTGGTTATAAAACATAAGCATGGTGATTACAGTTAATAATACTGTACTGAGTGTTTGAAATACTGTATCTATGAAAGTTGCGAAGAGAGTAGATCATAAAAGCTCTCATCGTGAGAAAAAAATTTGTAACTATGTATGGAGGCAGACATTAACTACACTTATTGAGGTGATCTTTTCACAACATATACAAATATTGAATCATTTATTTTGTACACCTGATACCAATATAATGTTATATGTTAATTAGACCTCAATAGAAAGAAAATACGATGGTCATCATCATATTGGTCAAATTCAGAGAGCACATAGAGAAGCCAGTTTAGTACGACACATAAAACAGAAGCCCCAGCCCGCAGAGGAGCTGCACAGCTAAGGAGACCAGGACAGTCGAGAGGATGTATACAAGGACCGCGGAAGTGCTCAGGGGCTCAGAGGAAGAAGAGGACAGCTAGCACATGGATTATGGAAGACCTCTAGTGCTGTTAGAATCTGAAGACAAGCCTAGGAGACTTCATAAGAGAAGTGAGTCTTCAGTACCACTTACGAGAATTTGAGCTGCAGTGTTGCAGAGCGAGCGTGGTTGGCTAGACGCTGGGAAGAGGTGGGAGGGGGGTGAAGGCCTGCTTGGCTGGAGCCCACTTCTCAGCAGCTCCAGACAGACACTCAGCATCCTCTTGTTGGACTAATTATTACACAAACTCTGGCAATCAATGAATAATTTTGAAAGGGTTGAGAGAACAGGAGTCACTCTGGACTGATTACAGTAAGTTCTCATTTGTACGTGTCAGACTCTTTTCACACGTCTTGGGAAAGTTGTCAGTGCTCTCAAAGGGTTGAGAGAGAGAAGGAAGGCAAGGGAGTGGGGGAGACTGTTTATTCCTACACAGAACCCTAAATTAATCAGGAGGTACTCAGAATATCTACGTTGTTCTGATACTGTGTTAGCCACTGGAGAGGGGAGTAGAAATTACAGAATTTACTCATTCAATAATATTCACTGAACTTTTGATATGTACAAAATACTTTTGCAGGAAACCAGATCTTAACTGATGCCGGTGGAAACAGGGAAGAGGCTAATAAGAAGGAGCAAAATTTCACTGAAAGTTTGAAAGGACTTGTAGACTATCAGGCTAAGAGGTATGAATAAATCCAAGATGGTAAGATTTTTAGACTCAACAGTTGGCTCTGTCTTACACTTGAATTAGTTGCTTCAGTTTCTTACCAGTAAGACAGTGGAGAACCATTTGCTCCATGTGACACCAAAAGAAAGGGAACAAACAGTTCACGTTCATGTATTTCTCAACCTTTTCACACGTGAAATTGTGCACTAATACAGAGGGTTAAACTGAAAGGACATTGAGGTAAGTAAACTATATAAAACTTAGTGGGAAAAATGAAGTCCATTTTTATAGCATATAAACACGAAGGTTTAAGGAAATATTTCAAATATAAAACTTCCAAATAAAATCTATCTAATTTTTTAATGAGACACTTGAGCTTACTTTCCATGAATATGATTTTGTACAAGGAAGGGCTACATACATTTTCTGATCGAAATTAAAAATTTTGATCTCTTTAACTTCTTGATAGTCATCATTGAAGAGAAACTGTCTGCACGGTAGCTAAGAAAAATCTAAAATCCTTGCTTCACACTCATTGGAAAAATAGCAACCTTTGAAATTACATGGGAAAAAAACCCAACAGCTCTGTTTTCATTGACAAAAGTAACCTTTAAATTTTTTTGTGATAGCTTGGATGTTTTGAAATCCAATTAGGAATTTTTACATCAAACGTGTCAACCTGAAAATGATGCTCTTATTTGCAGAATGGGCATGTATTTGAGGAAAGTTGCCATGTGGCTGCCTGAGGCACCCCTAAAAGACACATTAGCAGCCCATGGACAGGAGTTCTAGCCACCAACTTTATCTGTGCCCATGAGGAGACCGCTGGTTCTCGCCACGCTCTCATCACCCCCAGTATGCCACACCTGGGGCGGTGCCAGTGACACGCTCTGCAGCTGACTGTCCAGGGGTTTGTCCAGTGGGTTTCATGTTCTGCTCAGCGGGTGTCCGGGTGGCGGGGCTCCTTCTTGCCTCTGTTCAGGACCCTGGGGTGGAGGAGCAAGTTCTGATGCTACTCTCCTCATTTTCTCACCTGCAGCCCTCTGGCCATGCTGTCAGAGGATGCTCCACAGCAACCTGGATGCTCGCAACCAGAGGCAACCTGCACTGAAGTTCTTGCACAGACCACACCGGGTCCCTGAAGAGATAAATATTTCGTCGGACAGTTGTAATCCATTTCCGACTCATTAATATGCCAATGCACAAAGGCCCACCCACAGCAAAGCTCTGTAATGCAATTTTTCGCTTTGTTCCCTGTGTCTCTGCTATGAGACGTCTTGAGATAGTCACCACTGCCCAAGCAAAGACATATTCTGTGGAATGGCATTCACTAGAATTGTGCAGATCAGCTTCTACCATGCCCTGGCAGGGGATTACACAGGACGATGGTGGGCAAAAGTTACTGACTGTAGGAAAATATAAAATTTGAGTAAAAAGTATCTCAAATATCTCCTGTATCTTCTGCCAGAGAATACTGTTTGGTGTTAGGTTTTTTTGTTTTGTTTTGTTTCGTTTTTTTAAGGTCTTAAGTTAATCCTTTAGCAAATGAGTGTCTTGTGATCCCTTTGTATTAGGTAGGAATTTTGGGTCACAGAAGTGGACTTTGGCTAAATTAATGAAAGAATGAGAGAAGAGGAGAGAAAAAGAGGGAGAAGAACTTATCATTTGGAAGGATACAGGATGTGCCAAACAACAAACCAAGCAGAAGGGCGCAAGGGCAGTTCTAAGAGCTGAAGGACCAACAGGATCGCTGCTCTCTCCGCTTCCGCCATGAGTTACCACCAAGGATGTTCTCTGTCGGTATTACTCCCTTGGGACTCCCGTTCCTGGGAGTGGAGTCCAGTTGTCTGCTTTGGCTCACCATTCCCCTCACTCCAGCTCCGACTGTGGGGAGTGAGACAGTCCATCGGGAAAATTCGAGAAACCAGCTCAGGAAGGAACAATGGATCCTGGACACACAGAAACAACAGATGTCCACTTTACCATTCTCACCCCATTTCTAGATGAGGAAACTGAGTCCCTGAGGTAAAATGTTCCCCTCCATAGCCACAGTCAATGTGAGGTCAGGCCTAGAACATCACTTTACCATCTTCCAGAACGTTCCTCATTTCGGTACCTTTCCTCCTTCACACATCTGCAGATTTAGTTCTTTTACACATCTCTCTCCCTTAGATAAATGAAGTAAAATCTTACATTGTCTCCTCAAAAGGCTGTGAAGTGGATTGATTTCTGGGAAGCACATGACTAAGTTAAATACACCTTTTTATGACCTTAAAGATAAATGTCAGACAAATATCTTGAGGATGAATAGCTGCCAGGAAACTGAAAAAGAGTTTGTCTTCGACTGTGGGACCAAAACCAACACAAAGGAAACCTGCTTCCTTCTTATCGCAGGCGTCTGACAGGTTTCTCGATGATGTCAACGCATTTTCAGGCGTGCTTTCCCGGGTTGTTTGTGCCGTGTGGTACTCTGCCTCGTGCACTGTCAGAGGGCCGCTTTTTCAGTGGGTGCCGTGTCTCATTTGAATGCCCTGGAACAGGATTTTCATGGAAAACATTCAAGTTCTGTGAGGCATATTGGATTGCTTTTAGTGGCACTGTTGCTCTGAGGAGCTGCAGCTGGCACACCTGAAGCAACGGTCAACACACAAGCTCTGTCCTCGGCCTAAATATGGATTTACCTGGTGAAGGTGGCATGGGGAGTAATTTTTAGTTCAGGAATGTCCCCGAGTAGCCTCAGGGCTATAAGTGGCTTGGATGTCAACTCCCCCCAAGGCCTCCCTTGGCCACCACACTTAACACGCTTCTCATAGCAACTACAACTGCATCCCAATGCTTTCTTTAGTAGTGTATCTCACAAGATGTAATTACATGTTTGTTCGGAGAGGCAGTATGTGTTTGTAGCGCTTAGGATCACACAGCTTGCAGCAACCCACTAAGTTCAAAATCCCAGCTCCACTAATTATAGTAATTACACTTGTTGCATTTGCATGCCGTAACTAAGCTCTCTGACTCTCGGTTTCCTTAACTGAAAAAATGTGACACAGTGGTCCCTAATTCTTAAGGATGCTGTGGGAATCAAATGATGTACCACGTGCAAAGCACTTTTAACAGAGCCTTGTCCACAGTGAGCATTGTGTATGTGTTCTCTGTTGCTCTGACTGAGGTATTAATTGTCTGTGTCTCTCCCCTCTCCACGTGCTTTAGACTGTGAGCTCTGTGAGGACAGGAACCATATCTACTCTTCTCTCCAGTGGGTACCCAGAAAGAAAAGGGCCTCTCATGCAGTGGGGGAATCAATCAATATTTGTAGGCTGAATGGAGGAACCTATGAATGGGTGGACCAGTTGGCAGTTTACCAAGTGCTTTCATATATATTGTCACATTTGAGCTACAGAACGTTGCTGTCAGATGGTACCAATATTTTTCTCATTTTATATGTTAGGAAACTGAACCTGAGGGCTATTAAGTCACTTGCTCAAGGGCAGATTTCCAACACAGCAAATCCTGAGCTTGGTCTTCAAATCTCAGTCTCCTCTTGATCAACCTTCTGTTTGCTTGTTTGTTTCCATCTCTGAATCTTGTCCACAAGATTTCTTCTACAAGATATAAAATAGAGAAACAATTTGCCCTGTTTATTGCATTGTTTTGAGCATCAAAAGTTCAAGGAGGTGAAACACATCAAACTGTTACCCCAATGGAAGCCATTATGACCATGCTTTGTGTTTCGGGGATTGCATAAAGTAGCTTGATTATTTTGTGAAATGATTTTAAATGGGAAAGAGAATGTTTTAAAAGAAGAGGGAGAGAAAGAAAGAGAATGTGGGCAAGGGAGGGATAAAAGATTTGTAGTAGGAACTGGATGTGACTTTTGAAGCATTGGGATCAAGCTGATCACACTACCTGGAGAGGGAAGGACAGTATCTTTCTGATGTTTCAATAATTTCTTGAATTATTGTGGTGTGGCCAGTGTGAATCTCCAATATTTTATTACATATTTTCAGCTCCTTGCTATTGAAATTAGGGAGCTATAGTTTTAGCCTTAGCTTTTGCCTACCCTTTACATATAAATGCTGAGTTTCCTGGATGATAAATTCAAAAGTTTTAACTTATTTTGTACCTTCACCAAGAATTATAAATTCTGTTGAGACACTAATTTAAAAAAGAAAAGTCACAGACACGAAGTAACTTTGGTAGTAGTGAAGAGTAGAGTTATTGATTAATAGCATGATAATAAATGGAATCAACTAACCATTACTGAACGTTTAGTATGTGGAAGAATCTCTGTTACATGATTCCATATGCATCATCGAATATAATTGATTCATTCATTTCCTTAACAAATATTTACTGAATGTCTATTATTTGCCAGAAACAATCTCAATAACTAGGCAGACACATAACGATAAAGAAAATCTTGACCTTATTGAATTTACATTCTAGTGGGAGAGGAAGGCAATAAAAAATTGGCCAATGAATACTTGATAAACTATCAGACAGTGATAAGTTCTATGATGAAAAAGAAAATAATGCATAAGAATAAAGAGTAATGGAGGCCTGGAGTGACCACTTAGATGGAGCGAGTGGTCAAAGAAACCTTCCCTGAAGAGTTTAAATTTGAACAAAAGTATGAATGGAGTGAGAGGTTAATCTCAGCAATGCTGGCAGAACAGCATCCCTACACAAAGGAACAGTAAGTGCAAAGTCCCTGAGGCAGAAGCAAGCAAGAGTGAGATTGCCACACTAACAAGGCACAAAGCAACATGAATGAGGTGCATGAATCCTCAGGCAGGGTCCTTGGGTAGGGCTTTGAGGGAGAGGTGGGGAGTCTGGATTTTCTCCTGAATGTGATGGAAAGCTCTTGGAGTGTTTGGGCAGAATGACACAATTGGATTTCCTCTTCAAAAGATCATTTGATCGTTCTGGCTCTTGTATAGGGAGTGGTTCATAGGTTATAGGGGTAGCAAGGGTGGAAGCTAGAAGAACAGTTAGGAGGCCATTGTGCCAGTTCAGAAAGGAAACAGTGGTAGCTGTGGACGGTGGAGGTTGGAGGCAAGTAGTCAGCTTTGGAAGACAGCAGAGTCCTCTTCTGATTACTCATTCTCTGAATGAAATAAAAGTTGAAGACAATAGCTGAAAATGCCAGGATTTGAAGAACTGGAGAAGGTATGAGTTGATCCTCAGAGAGTGAGAACATGAACAGACTATTGGAAAATACTAGGATGTGAGGGAGTAGGGGCCATTTGAAGTTGGTGGTCATGAGTCTAATGTGAGACAAGAGCATGTGGTTGTTTCTCTCCACCCACCTCAGTTATTCTGGCAAAGTCAAGGAATTGGGTTTAGCTGGGGCTGGGATTTTCCCAGGTAAGTGTAGTGAATAGAGAGCAGGAAATGAGAGATTATACTGCCAGACTCTAGAACCACAGTCTGGTAGTAGAAAGTGAGGGCAGGACATGGTAATGGCAGCAAAATGTGAGCATTGGTAGATCAGATAGTCCCCAGGATGCCAAAGATCTGTTGGAGTATGTGATAGACTGAGTATTTGTGTCTCCTCAAATTCATAGGTTGAAATCCTAACCACCAGTGTGATGGTATTCGGAGGGAGGGCCTTTGAGAGGTAATTAGGTTTCAGCGAGGTCATGAGGGTGGTGCCTTCATGATAGGATTAGCTCTCTTTTTCTTCCATGTGAGCATACAGCCAAGAAGAGTGTCCTTACTGCAACCTGACATGCTGGTACCCTGATCTGGGAATTTCAGCTTCCAGACAGTGAGAAACAAATGTCTGTTGTTTATGCTCCCTATTCTGTGGTTGTTTTGTTCTGTTTTGATAGAAGCCCAAGCTGACTAAGACAGACTAGCCACTAAAGAAGTGAGTTGAAAAGTGGATGGGAACTGGCCTTCAGATGCTTGAAACGGAGACTTCAAAGATATTGGAAACGGCCAAGGGCATGTGGTCCCGGAAGGGGGTGATCTCGATTAGTACAACGTGGTGTTTTGTGTTTGCTGGGTGTTTTTCTCCTCTGTGTCACTTGACACTTCTGGGTTGCCAAAATAATCACAAAACTGCGACAAGCCAAGAACACCATCAAGAAAGTGAAGGACTTAATTTAGATGGTTAATGTCCGGGAAGTGCCCGTTTTGCGGTTATGCCTGTAACGCCGCCTTGGCGCCGGGGGTGTGACTGCGAGCTCAGGGCGACCCTGGGCTTTGGGCTCAGCGAGGATGCCCACACGTCGGCTTCCACTGGTGCCGCCCATCCCCAGACAGGCCACAGTGAGCGTTCATCAGCAGCTGAGTTAGTGCTGTAGGTAGTCAGGGAGACGTCTAGGCAGAGAACCATCAGACTGGGAGGTCATTCCCGGATAGAAGCCAGCTCTCAGTGAGCTCCCACCACGGCCTACTTTTCAATATGGGATCCAAGTTTTAATTTCGCGCAGGTAGAGGTCGGCTTTCACGCTGTGGGTCAGTGCGCAGGAGCGGGCTTCTGCTCTCCAGCAATCCTGAAATTTGAGTTCCTGGAGGGATCCAGGAGGCTTCCGGGGGCGCGGGGGAGCGGGGGGCGTGGGTGCCTGGTCGCCTCCAGCCCCGCTGTTGCAGAATCCAGGGGTGCATCCCCCTTTCCCGATTCTTGACGTCAAGCCCCGACCGCCGCGAAGCCCGGCAAGGGCGGTGGAGCGCGGAGGAAGGGTGGCAGCGAGGAGAAGCCATTGCAGCAACAGCTTGGAGGAGGGAGCTGGACATCTCCGCCGAGAAACACAGGGGGCGGGAGCCCGAGGAGCGGAGCAGAGGACCTGCCCGCTCCGGGAGCCGCTGGGTTGCTGCAAAGAGGGGCGGGGAGAGGCGGGGGCGCCGCCTGCACCGAGCTGGCTCCAGCGGTGCCCGCGGGGAATGTGACATCAGCAGCGCCGGGCGCTTGTGGCTGCAGGAGGCATCTCGCCTCGGCTGCGCTGTGCACACCTCGCCCCGGGGAGGACGCAGACCCGGGCAGGCGGCAGGGATGTCGGCGAAGGAGAGGCCAAAGGGCAAAGTGATCAAGGACAGCGTGACCCTCCTGCCCTGCTTTTATTTCGTGGAGGTGAGTTGGCCCAGCGCCTTGGCATAATGCAGATCCTCCGCGCGGCTCCGGAGCCAGTTCGGGTCCCGGACCGTGTTGGAGGCGCGCAGACCGCGCCAGGGTGCGCGCTGCTGCCCCCAGATGCCCGCCTCTCCCCCTTCCCCCCAGCTTTCTCGGGAGCTTCCCCGAGTGTGCCTGCGAGTGCCTGCCGGCCAGGGGTGATTACCACGAGCGACGCCGCTGCTCGGTGGCCTGCAGGCAGGAGATACCTGTGGGAGTGAGCGTGGGGCTAGTGCCCTGGCCCTCCGGCACTGCCTATGTGCACAGCCTGGTCCGTGGCCCAGAGGGGCCGTGACGCTGATATTTCGAGATCTGTGTCCTCAATCTGCTAGTACGTTATCTAGAACTCTGTGAGCTTTCTGTAGGAATTGAAATACACACGGCCATGCCCCGGGTGTGTGTGTGTGGTGGGGGGGGTGCATGAGGGCTGAAGATGTTTATACAGCATTAGGAATATTGATTGTTTCATTACAAACAAAAACAAAACCGAAAAGCCCTTCCGCTTTTATAATTACTGTGGTGCTCACATCTGCTTCTAAAATTGGGTCTATATCTTTAGGCATCCATCTATTGGCCCTTTGCCATGGTTAACAAAAATTATATACATATACACATATATATGTATATATGTAAATGTATGCATAATAGTTTAAAACTAAGTGACATCATCTGATTTTGCAAGATTTGTACATGTGTATTTATCCTCTGCTGAGCAATATTATACATAAGCAGTTAAAATGCAGGTGTATTCATAATGAACCTCTAACTTACCAAAATGCAGCATTTAAGGGAAGAACAATTTATGGGAGGGTTATGAAGATTGACAGGTACAGTGATTCCATGCACTGTGGTCCATTGCATTAGGAAGACATTTTTAAGCAAGAGGTTTATTAAATCATAGGTAGAAAAAAGATGTGAAAAGATTGATAGGTTTACTGAAATCATACGGTTTTAAGTATAAAACTATATCCTGTGTAAGTAGAGCCTGGATTGCATAGAGAATTTTAAGATTGTTGCTGAATTGTAAATATCCTTCCTTGGCCATCTTTTCAGCCGAATATGGAGGTTTTGCACTTCTAAGTACAGATAGTAGGTTCTGTATTTGATGACTGCAAGGCTTTTCTGTATTGAGGGATAGTCGTTGCCTTGAAACTTGGGACAAGAGACATTGTCAGATTGTTTTTATAGATAACAGTACATTTGCAAGTTTCTCTTGGGTCTCACAATTTTACAAACGGTTTCAGTGTTAAGAAACATGTATGTGATTTGCATAAGTCTCAGAGAAATGATGGGTGACTCCTTCATCCATGACCCATAGAAAAGAAGGATAAAATATTGACCTGTTTATTTAATTAATTGATTCACTAATTTTTGCTCCTCCTGTTTTCACAAGGGATTTTGAGGCCATGGTTTAGATAATTTCGTTGAAAGCAAATGAACAGTTTTCTCAATAAAAAACAAATGTGGCAGCAGAAGATTCCATGATAAAAAGGGTAAAGGGGTAGAGAGATAGGCTCCCTGCCTGTAAGTTCAACCCTGTCAGGCCACTTGTATGGCTAGTCCGCTGTGGTTTTGTCTGAAGACACTTTCATTCACATCTAGACCTGTTACATCTGTTTAGGAGAAATCGGTTAATTGCTGGCTTCCACCTCCAGGACACAGCACATCTGAGGTCAGCTAGAAGCTGACCACATATGGATTGTAGCTGGATGGCTTCAAGGAATATACTTTCATGAAAGAGGATGCAAACCAGAGAATTAAGGATGTGCCTTTAAAGAATCTATGTGTGGACTTTTCAGATACCTTTAACAGGAGTACATTACCTTTTAAACTAAAATTTTTAAAGAAAAAAAATGCCTCATAATACATTTGAAATGGGTCTCTAGGAACAAACATCTCACAGATGTGAGTTCTTTTCCATGAGTGTGGAAATAGCCCCAAATCATTACATTCACTTTGACCCATTCAGATGCCTTCTACAAATTCCTGAGCAGGGCAAACTACAGAACAATTCCTTGACAATCAGTCATGGAGTTGGAATGAGCATTTATGGTGTGATGTCTTAGGGGTAACAGATTTCAAAGGGAAAGATATAAAATTGGACTGCAAATTGTCTCTCTGAAACTTAAACGCTTGATGAACCACTAAAGAGCCTCTAGAAAATGGGAGAAGACATTAGTACACCAATTACTTAACGGGTTGACAGAATGCACTACTGAACTCCTTTGGAATGACTCATTCTAAAGCCAGTGAGAACGAGCTTTGTATCTCCTTTGGAGGCTGAAGAAATACAGCAAGAATTAACGTGTCAGTAAAAATGCTGGAGAGTAATGGCACTTTGCTTCGCAACATATTCTCCCAGACCTTAGTAATTAAAATGCAAAAGTGAAACGTGAGTGAATCTTTCATCACATATCAACCCAAAACACACATTTCAAGCCTGCTCTGTTACTTCAGACAATAAGTAACAAAAAGAGGTAAAAATGACCAGAATTTGAGGAGAAAACTGTCTCTGGGTCTCAAGTCAGTGACACCATGGACAAGTTAAACTTGGCCTTTCTTCAAGAAGTTCAGGCTGCTTTAAATTGCTGCTCATCATGGTAGGTATGAACTGTGAAGAAGTTAACTAGAAACTGAGGGGCAACTTTCATTCAGACTAGAGGGGGCTGAAGTCAGGTTAGACTGAATGATGGCAGGAAAAACGGCCTGGGCCTTACAGACAGGTGGACCTTGTTCATCAACCACCTACACCACATACTGCTTGGATAATTCTGGCCAAGGTACTTCTCTCATTCTCAGTGTCTGCATATATAATAGAAACTATGTGATGCAATATCAAATATATATTGATGTGTAACAGAAATGATAATACTCACATCTTACAGTATCTTATGACGTGAAAGCATGTAAGCCACCAGACATCATTTCTGAGCAAGAGTCGGCACTCAGGATGCACCAGTTTCTTTGGCAGTGTCAGGTGTGGACCCTGTGGGCTGGGCTGATGTGTTTGGTCACTAAAACCAAGTCTTCTTGGCCTGGTTCACCACCAGACTCCACGTTAAGCAAATGTTAAGGTAATGGATAGAATTAAGTTTTTCTTACCTCTTTGGTTTTATGCTACCAACTGTTTATGCTGATAAAGGGGTTTATGGTTGACAGTAATTAAATATATCAGCATCATGTGGTGACTTGGAAAACACAAGACAATTTCCAGCACAGTACCTCACTTTATGAAAAAGTTTCACAATTCTGTTTTGCATTGTTCAACTTGGGAAAAGAAAGGTCAAGTTATGAACAGAACTCTCAAATCAGCATATCCAGGACTTTATCAGGTGAACAGAAAAGCAGGTAAAAAGGAACATTCAACTGAAGAAAAGGTTTGTCTTGCCTTTAAAGTTCCAAAGCCCTCTCCAAGTGATGGTTGTATCACTTACAGTGTGGTTGCAGCCAGCAGCACACCTAGAATTAACCCAATATTAAATGTGATCTGGCTGGCTGTCTGTGTGCCTAATGCATTTCCTTTACACAGAGCATTACAATGGTCCCACCTGTATTCAGACTCACAATTCTGTTCCAAGATATGAGTTCACATTGATTTGGTATGTAATATAAACAAATTGTAAATTACCCTTTAAACCGAAAAGATGTAAGTTCTTAATAAGTAAATGGGGAAAAAATTCTTTTCATTTAAACATTCTGCTTTGTGGCATACATTGTTTATTACTAATCTAATGTTTACTTTCTGGGGGTAAAAGAACTATGTTTGACCTATATGCAGAGATATTTTTATAGGGCTAGAGATGCAGATGGTTTGAAAATTCTTGTTTTTCATACACACACACATAAACACAGAGGGAGTAGGGGCATCCTCTCCCTATTAAATGTAAAATCACTGTATCTGAAGCATTACAGCAGGCCTGAAATTATGCAGAAAGTTTTCACTAATTCAAATGTTGCACTTAACAATGGGTGTGTTTCAGGATTTTGTTATTGCAGGTTAATTACTACAGTTTAGGGTCAGTAACTAGACAGTGTGTGCAGGAGTAAAAGCCATTGTTTCTCTGTTACCATCCTGCCCAAAGAAGTTCAAAGAGTCTCTGTTTAAGCAGAGAAACCCTGGTTAGGTCAGTCTGAACATCATACCTAGACATTAGTGTGTCTTGACAGAACCTTAATATGATTTTTTTTCCCACTGGAAAGTATCACAATATCTTATTGTAGCAAACATGAATTCACAAGATTTCTGTTCCAGCTCAAGATCTATGTGAAAATTATATAACTCCTTTGATCTTCTTGCTGGGAAATCTAGCTAGCTGATTTTACATAAACTCAACGTCAGTAGGAAGTAGAAAATCACAACATTCTGCATCACACGTACCAAAATAGTAACTGCAGGTTTTTTCCCTTTGCTAGATGGCATAGATATTCTGCTCAAAGAAGTAGTCCAAACCCTGCCAACAGAGATGAGCTGACAAATCTTTCCTCCTCTTTTACAGTCACAGTGTGCAAAGTTCTTTGGTGAAAAACAAAAAGGAAAGAGAGATGATAAAAGAGCCCTAAGTTATAGGAAGACTACATGAGGAAGAACATTTCCACAAACACCATGACCAAGTGCTGAACATGGAACCTGCTGTTAGGGAATTCTGTACTGTTCCTAGGTTCCATCAGGATCTTGCTGTATCTCCAAGGTCAAGTAGTCTTGGTCTGACTTTTCTCTAATAGAAAAAAAAAAAGGTGACTTCTACCAACCTCAAAGGGATAATAATAACAATTCTAGTAAAAACAAGGAATGGTCAATTTCCAGCCTCCTTTATATGACAGACCCTGTGCGTACATTATCTTTAATCCTGAGAACTACCTCAGAAGATAGTATTAATTGTATTAAGGTAGTGTCAAGAAGGTAAAATCAAGAAGACTATCATGATTTTTTAAATCAGCAAACTGTAACTCAAAGAACCAAG